TTACCAAAACAACACCCAATAAAATAATAAATAGGCGGCATTCCCGAGCGGAGCGAGCAAACACGTCTGCCACGGGGGGCGTCATGAACATAACGCATAATGCTTTGTCTCTGTCCCTCTGTCTTTGTGTCTCACCTCAGGACTGGAGAGTTTGGCCTCGGTGAGGACGAGGGCAGTGGCGTTGACGGCGTGAGCCAGTTCCTGCTCCACCAGCTTGTGGGTCTCAGCTGCTTCACGGATCCTGCAGAGGAGAAAGCGAGTTATTCTAAAATATATGAATTCAAAAAGGAACAGGTAAGTGTTCAGAGTTTTGCTTACTTATTGATGAGCGTGTCGGCCACCATGCCGAGCTGCTGGACCTGAGCACACTCCTCCTCAGTCAGATATTCCATGGACTGCTGGGAGTTGAGGCGGGGCCTGGTCGGACGGTAGCTGTCGATCTTCATCTTGTCCTCCCACGACTTCAGCGTGCTTTCAAACGCCTGGGAAAAGGGGAGAAAGTGTCCAGATTTAGTTTGACAAATGTATCACGTTCTTTTCTTGAGCTTTCTTAAATTTCAACGCTGGACCTTTTACCCTGTCTCTGGTCAGCATCTGCGCCCGGTTCTTGTGGACGATCTTGACGATTCCTGGTGGCTGGATCCAAGCCTCGCCGTCCACCTGGACAGGGACGCCCTCCTCCCCCAGAATGGTGATCTTCACCTGACGACACTTTTCAAACACAGCAGAAAAGCAAAAGGTTCACTTCAGATGTGACTCTGTGACCATTTTTAATCCTTGGCTGAAACCAGTTCAAACAAACCAAACTAATCACTTCAGTTTGTCTTAGTCTGAAACACATACACTAGTTTGGCACCAGTGTCTGTACCAGATGCCCTTTTCAACACAACCACAAATGTTGTGTTCATACCAGTTCACACTAGTTCATACCAGCTTCTATAGTCAAACTGTTTCTCATCCTGAAAGACGACGTCATTAACGCTGACGTCATTAACGCTGACGTCATTAACGTAACTCGGAGTGTACCTCTGTGTGTGTGTGGGTCACCTGAGCGATGCGGTGGTGCTGCAGGTTGATGACTCTGGACATGGCCATCTGCATGCTGCCAAACACGGCCACTACCTCCAGCTTCTTATCATCGAATGATGGAGCTCCAAAGTTCTGTGGAAGTTCAAAGTAAGCTAATCTACAATCATCAAAGCAGAACTACATGACTACATGACCAGCTCTTCTCACTGCACTCACATTGTCCTCCTTGGTGCCCCCCCAGAAGTTGATGCCTCCTGCATAACTGGGAATGTTTAAAACGGCCAAACCCTGAAGACTGGGTAGAGGCATGGGAACGCCATCACACTGACAGAGTCAGAGGAAGATAAAAAAAAAAATTTTTAAAAAAGAGTCAGGTTAAGGTGGTGCTCCACAGGGGATTCTTCTGCTCAGTGTGTGGCTCTGTCACTGACCTCCAGCTGAACTCTCTGCTCCAGGTTCTTGTAGGTTTTCTGGACCAGCTCTTTGGTTCCCAGAACTCCGTACCACATCATGTTCTTGGTACGACTACTGCAATGACAAAACATCAGAAGTAAACTGATCACTGGTGTCCTTCATTCTGCTAAGGTAGTGGTCCCCAAAGTGGGGCCACGTCCACTGGTGGGGTGGAGCTATGGTGGGGGAAGGGATTGATTAGTATATATTGGTATAAATATAAGTTTTGCTGGTGTATAGGTGCGCTGGAGCGCCTTCTTTATATGCAGACGACGTGTTGTTCTATTAAACAGAGACTGATGAACTATAAAATAAGAGGGTATTCATATTCACACCTGCACTTTTTTGGATGCTCGTCTCTCTTGTTGTTAAATTCCAGCGAAATCTTTGCGTCCAGGCCGATGCCAAAGTAGTTGTTCATCACACATTTCTCTGAACATTGTCTGTGGAACCAGACGACGTGGACTTTTATTGGAAACACCGTTATCACAGTAGGACAGTCATTACACTGCTACAGAACAGTCTTACACTAAGTCCTCGTTGTAGGTGACGGTGTGAAGGCTCTCTGGTTTCTCCAGGTCGATGGGGGAAGTGGGGCTCAAACTTCCTTGACCTGGAAAGAAGCACAACTCTGAATAGTAAAAATCCATCAACGTTCCCTTATGAACAGGCTATTTTGAGAAGTTTGGCCATAAAACCAGATCAGTAAACGCTCAAATGGTCTCGATGTTTGTAAACACACACGTACGTGGCTCAACCTCCTTCAGCTCCTCACTGTTTTCTCTTTTGATGGAAGATGAGGACGACATCCTCTGAACCTGTGTGTGTCGGTTCTGTTCATCCACCACTGAAACACAAACACACTGGTGTTTAATTAAATAATCCAAATGTACACCAATGTACCATAAAAATCCAGAAGTTAGTCATTTACAGCACAAATAAGTCTTGACAAAAATGTTTATATTTTATATTTTAAACACACAGGCCTTTGCTCGGTGAATTTGACTAGAGTACGGGTGTCGAACTCAATCTCACATTGGTCCACGGTTAAAAACCGGGATGAAGTCGTGGACCAAACGTAATGTTGATTGAAGAATTGACTGGAAATGTGCATGTTTTCCCTTCTCTCCAGATAAGTAATGATGAATTCATGTTTAATGTGGAAATAAACTTTTGTTTGTGTAAACACTGAATTTGGAACAACCAAAGCTTAATATTATGAAAACATGAGAAATTAAATTTGATAAAGACACACATCAGTATTTGTTTCTTATTGTCTATCTCTGGGCTTTCAACTAACTTTTTAATGTCAATCTTTTGTCACAGGCCAACAACAGAATAATGTATGTGCTCTAATATAGTGCATACATCACTAATACTACAGATCCTGTCAGTATATAATGGCTACATACTGGCAGGCCAGCTCTAAAACACATTGGAGATGATCTCGTAATATCAACAGGGCCAGATTTGGCCCGTGGGTCTGATTTTGACACCTGTGGTCTTGAGCGTTAAATTAGGACAACATAAATAACATTCTAAAGCCTATGGTTGTGTTCAGGTCCTAACTGTGGATCATCTCTGTACCTTTCTCCGCCTGTTCGATGATCTGCCTCAGGGCTTTCTTCAGGCTGTTAGCTCGAAGCATCAGCTGCTCCTTGGACCGATAGGTTTTACTTTCTGAACCCAAATCACCACCACCACCTTCAGTGGGACTGGTGCCGCTGTCACCCACACTCTCCTGGTTGGACATCGAACCAGCCGGCACCACCTGATTAAATCAGAAGAATAAGGACTTTTCAGACACTCGGAAGGCTGTGTGTTTTTTTCATCAAACAAAATCAACCTTTGAATAAAGAACTGAAGAAACAATAAAGAAACAGACAGCTATCAGTTATTAGTTATCCTGAAAAGGGAAGTTGAGAAACATTAAAATATTCCACACACTGTTGTTATTATTTCTGCCCACAGGTTCAACAAACCAGCAGAACAACAAGAGTTTGTCGGTGCAGGTAGTTTCCAGCCTTCACTCATGTTCTGTTCTTTGAATCATCGTGATCGTCTACAGTCAGGTGTTCTCACCTGAGCTTCTGCTTCTTCACTTAAAGCCTTGACCAGTGAATCCAGCTTCTCATTCAGCAGCGCACACCAGTGAATCCAGCTTCTCATTCAGCAGTGCACACTGACAGACAGACAGACAGAGAGAGAGAGAGAGAGAGAGAGAGAAGGAAGAATGTTTTTACTGACGACTGTTTTCACACAGTGCAGACGTCTGTGAAGTTCTCCATCATCGGAGCTGAGCTCAGATAAAGGTTGTCGGTGATATTCTCTCCTGTGTATCTGTGTGTCATGGTGAGTATTTAAATACAGGAACGGAATGAAAAGAAATAAAAACGGCCTCTTTAACTTTAACTCTCATGTTCTGAGTCAAACACTTCATCAAACACGGACTGGAGCGTTGACCCTTGGTCTGAACCTACACACACCTACACTTACCTGCAGTTTCACGAGCTCTTATATAAGACACACACACACACACACACACACACACACACACAGTGTACCTTCTTTGCCATGGCGTCCGCCTCCTCCTTGTTCTCTGTGGCTCTCTCGTACGCCTTCCCCACCTCAGCCACAAAGTCATTTACTGTCCCACACAAAAATCTGACAGCGGAGTAAACAGAGGACGAAAAACTGGATTAAAAAGTGTCCTTTTTTTTTTTTTTAAAGAGGTATTTGCAACAACAACAGCAGCAAACATCTTTCACCTCAGTGCTGCCTGTTTTTATTGTTATTATTTTATTCCTGGATAAAAAAATAAATAAATCGTTTTTTTTCCTTCAAATCAGGTGGCCAAAACAACTGGGATCAAACTTGTGAACACGTGACCTTCTTGCTGTAAAGACACGTATCCCCAAAACAGCAACCACTGGGTGGCGCTGCTGCACTAATTACCGTAGTTAACAAAACCTCCCTTCCCAACAACACTTCCCAGACATGAAGTTCAAACCACTTTCTTCTTTACATTAACCCCATGCCAAACTCTAACCCTCTGTGTGTTGTCAATGTTGACGATACATACTTGGCAGAGGAGATGACATCACTGTGTTTGTCTGAGTCCAGAATCTTGGCCAAGTGTGAGGCCACAGAGTCTTCATACTGAGTGATGTGGACCTGAAACAGAGAGACACACATATAAGTGGACCTTTGAAATGATTCAATCTGTGCTAATCTCCAATAATCTCTGAAACCAGATTACAGACCACACTGCACCGCATCAGTTCACAACTTTAATCTCAGTCTCATATATGAAAGTTGTTTTTTTTTTACCTGCGGAAGAGACTCCAGACCATCATCCTCCTTCACTGAAGGTGTGTGTTTGTTGGAGGCAGGAACCTCGTAGGTCAACACACTCCATCTGAAACAAACAAACAAACAAAAACAAAATCAATGAATTAACAGAAGAATTCAACCAACTCAACAGGTCAAACATCAGCCTGCGCTCTCACCTGTCCAACATCTTGGTGGTGGCTCTCTCCAGCTTCTCCAGGATTTGAAGCAGCTGAGCATCATCGTCACACAGACCCCCCCAGCCCAGGACCCGAGCCAGGTCATTTCCTGTGCCCAGAGGCAGCACGCCCAGCTGACACTGCAGAAAGATCCAAACTAATCTTTTTGTTCTGGTTCTGAGTGCTCCTATGACCTGACATCTTTAAGGCTCTGAGGTACAGTCAGTATGTTCTGTGTTTAAATGATGTTCTCTGTTTGAATTACAAAATAAACCCTGAGCTGTCCTTGTTGCAAAGCCTTGGGTCGATGCTCCTTTAACACCCAAACCTTCTGATTTTACCTTCGTGTCAACTTCACAGGCTGTGTTGCAGACATTGATTAAAAAAGGTTCAAAGAATTCAAAATAATTGAAAAAAACAAGGATGAAAAACCTGAGTCCTGATGACTGATGCATATGGTTGTTTCCCAGAACCACTCCACACATCAGTATTATATCATCATCATCATCACTCCTCCTCCTGTTCTCTGCTCTCACCTGTTTGTGGAGGCTGAGTTTATCCAGCTCAGAGAGAACCCAGCCCACGCTGCCATCTCCTCCACACACCAGAACACGGAAAGTCACGAACTTCTGAAACAGTCGAAGGCTGGAAGAAGCACAAAGAAAAAAAAACTGATGGAATCACATGACTGACAGGCAGAAAACAAGGTAGCAGACAGAAACCCAGCTCAGTACCCGAGCTCTGGACCTCCGTTCATCAGGTCGAAGACCTGCGCTGGGTTGAGCTGCTGCTTGAACTTTCGCAGGAACTTCACGCCCTGGTTGTCACCACTCTTGGAGTTGACCATGACGAGCAGAGGGCTGGAACACGAAGCTGAGGTGGCCTTCCAGAAGCCTGAAAAAAATGTTACGCTAACATTAGCATTTTAGACTAAAATCCAAAACATTTACAATAGTTTGTCAAAATATACAAATAAGATTAGCCAGTGTGTGTGTGTGTGTGTGTGTGTGTGTGAGTGAGTGAGTATATCTCACCATCTGAGTCGATGCTGTTGAGCGCAGTAGGAGGGATGATTGACACCCGACACTGACCCAGTGGACACACCTTCCCTATTTGTTCTTTACAGCTGTTGTGAACCTGAGAGTGGTAGTTATACCTTATCAGAAATCAAGAACTTTCCAAACCTTGAAATCAGAGCCTGGAGATGTACACACAATATGATTTAACAAACAGAGCTGGCTCCAGATGGAGTGTTTCTACGTACGATGGCTTTGCACCACAGGCAGCGCCAGTCCTGCAGCCGCCTGACGCTGCCGCAGTTCCTGTCGCACACCACACACTTAGCACTGACCGGCAGGTTCCCCTCCAGCCACTGGTGTGGCATCGACACCTGAGGGAACGAATAAAAAGTTCTTTTGACTTTTACAAAAAACTGTGATCATTTCTCTGGCCCGTCGTTTTCAGGAGACTAAAACATTTCCTGGTCAACCGTGGTGGCGTCTCAAGCTATTTTATAAGCTATCCTTCAGATGTTTCTAAGCCAACTTGTAGCCCTCATTTCAAGTTATTTTGAGGTAACTTTAGCTACTTTGTGTATTCAGCTAAAGAGGAAAACATTTCATTTTTTGCTTTACTTTGATTTCAGCTCATTTTATTCTGTTCTTTTTTTCAACAGATTTGTTCAACAGAATTTTTTTTGTAGAACCTCAATGAGTGAAGCAGAAAAAAGGTTTAAAAGTTTCAAAGTCATTATTTGTGTGTAAAAATGAAACCTACCCCATCTTCATCCTCAATTATGTCGTTTCCTATGGAGGCCAGCGTGGTCCATTTGCAGTTGTTGGTGGAACGAACTGCGCAGCGTTTGTGAGCTTTGAACTTACAAACTTCAACGGACAAAAGAGGAAAAATATCAAAATCAAATCTAAATATTTGAAAAGAAAGGATTTAAACTCACAATTGTTCTGGCTTTACTAAAAATGCATAACTGTTTGGTGTCATGTTCCCAGAAATGTGTTGTCAGATGTGTGTGTGTGTGTACCTTCACAGGACAGGCCGTGGGAGGTGACACCTGGCAGAGCTTCTCTACAGACGTTGCAGAAAGTGGGCCTGGCGTGTGAGCAGGCGTACCAGTTGTGCATCCCAGAGAAATGCTCCATGTTGAACTGACTGGCCTGAGGGAGGTGAGAAGACAAAGGGGTGACAAACAGGGAGTGAAGGGAGAAACCACAGTACCAGGTTGGAACAGCAGTAGTTTCTGGCTGACCGTAGCTACAGCTTGTAAAAGAGAAATCGATGTTGAAGTAGAACTGTTAGCAGCAGCTAACCGTTCTGTCAGGATTTATCCAGAGTTTCAGCTGAAGGTTGATGGTCGCAGTAAAAGGTCAAGTTTGAGAGTTTGAGTCCCCATTATATCTGCTCATGGTGCAATTTTAACAAAGTCTCCACAAAAAGTAATTCAATAAAAGGGTACGGTGTCACATGAAACAAACTGGAGAAGAAGCAAAAGAAGCAAACCTAGTTTTGTTCTGTTCAAACAAACAGTTGCAGTTTTACCTCCACGTGTTTCAAATACATCAAAGCAACATATATTATCTGTACCTAAGAAACATAAACTCAGAGGAACTCGACAAGAATGAGACATTTACTTTAAGTGTAACCTATTTTTTATGACTAGAAAAACTTGTTTTTTGTTTGTCTTTGTTTTATGAGTGCTTTATTGTGCTGACAAAGTGTGAAGATACTTTTTGAAGCAGGCCAAAATAAA